GGACGGGCGCGTCGCTCCGGACGCCTAGGCCCGCGCCGTCGGGAGCGCGCACGCTGGGCGTCCCCGGCTCGCTCGGGATTCTCGCCCGGCGCGGCCGGGGGAAGGTGAACGCTGTGGCCCGCCATGTTTTCCTCCGCGGCGCTCCGGGCCCGGGCGACTGGCCTCACCGCCCAGTGGGTAAGGAGGCTCGGGACGAGCCTTGGCACTGCCGCCGGCCTTCGCCCGCTCTCCGTGCCTCCCTTAGTTCTGAGCACGGGAGAGCGCTGGGCTCTGGACGGGCCTGCAGGCGGCGGCAAGGACACTGCGGCCTTCGCGCTCTCCTCTGCGGGCCCGCTGCAGTTCCACCGCCAGTGAGGAGCCCCGAGGGAGGGTCTGCAATGGTAGCTGCGGCCGGTGCGTGGCCTCCCCCACCAGGCCGGGATGTTTGCACCTAATTTGGTCAAGGAGGACAGGAAGGAGGGGCCGCTTGGTGATCTGTGTTGTGCTCTTTCGCTCTAGCACGGAACCGAGGGCCTGTGCTGGGTCGGCCAGATGTGTTTCCAAGACCCCCGCCCCCGAAGGAGCCGGCACCTTGCACGTCAGGCCTGGCAACCTTGTTGCTCTAAGGTTGCAGCATACTGGAGAGAACTCCGGCTTGGTGAAGGCTTACTGAAAGTTTCCTTAGGTCCGGAGAAGGGTGACCGGTGTATCACCGACTGCAGTTGTGCTTTGTATATCGGAAATGCTCGGAAAATAATCGTATCTAACTGCGAAAGAACAGCACCACAAATAACTGCACCCAACTGAAGAATCGCAGGATTTTAGAATTTAAATGATCTTTTGAAATCCAAGTTCCTCATTATAGGCAAAATCTTATTCTTGTTTGTTTTTTCCCATCAGTAAAGGTTGTCAGTTCTCAGCAAAAGAGAGGGAGTTAGTGTATACTAGTACAGAATGAACTCAGGGCTTTAGAGTTACACCCAAGTAGCTTCACCGCCTTTTGTAGCTATGGCACCTTGGGCTGTTAATCTTTCTGCTTCCTCAGTTTTTAAAATCGGAATAGTTCACTTGCAGAGTTCAGTCTTTCATAAACACTTGAGGTTCTACTGTGGGTCACACATTGCTGGGCTCCAGGTGACAGTGTGCATAATAATGACAGGTGACTTTTGATGACTATTTTCTGTGCCAAGCACCGTGTTAAATATCTACTTTCTGCATCTCCTTTTTGAGTTGGTACTGTTTTTTCCTCATATTACAGATAAACAGATTTAGACAATACCTGTTCTTGTGGAGTTGATTGTCTCATGTAAGAGGAACTTTAAGGTAAATATACAATGTAAAAGTACAAAGTTAGAGATGAATAGGGCCATCCAATATGGTTCGAAGGTGGGATAAGATTTTCCTTGAGATGGGGTCAGAGGGATTCTAGGTGGAAAGAACAATATAAAAAAAAGACTATTGATGTTGGCAGGAAAAATGATGGTGTGTATAAGCCAACTCTGTTGGAAGTAAGTAAGGTGTGTTACCAGCTGAAATAAGAGAGGGCCAGGGGCGAGATCTTAGAGCTCCTTGCATACCATAATGAAGAATATGACTTTATCTTAGAGGCAGTGAGGAGTTAGCGAAAGGTTTTAGAGGAGTAGAGAAATGGTTAGGTTTCTATTTTGGATGGATCATGGATGGGACTGAGGATGGAATGGGTTTGATTAGAGCCGGAAGCAGGGAGACTAAATAGATAAGAGGATCTTGCAGAAACGCTAGGTGAGAGATGATGTTTACTAGTAGAATGGATAGAAATAGTACATATAGATTTCTTTTTGTTTCTTTTGTGTTTGAGGCTGAGGGGTCAGAGTTATAAATTGAAAAGCAGTTTAACAATGAAAAAGAACAACTTCAGGTAGTGAAGAAAAAATTTAATCAAGTTTTATGTTTCTGCAACTTTTTTTTTGCAATAGTGCCTGCTATGTAATATGTGCCCAATAAATATATGTTGAATTGATGAATGTTACATTTTTTATTTCACAAGTAATACATTTTTGGAGAAACAGAATATTGAGAACAGCAACTAGAGTAAGCTCAAAAATAAAAATCATCCATAGTGTCATTAACCTGGAAATTAACATTGTTAACATTTTGGGGTTTTTTTTTGTTTTTTTTTTTTTAGTAAGCTCAAAAATAAAAATCATCCATAGTGTCATTAACCTGGAAATTAACATTGTTAACATTTTGGGTTTTTTTTTTTTAAAAGATGACCGGTGAGGGGATCTTAACTCTTGGCTTGGTGTTGTCAGCACCACGCTCAGCCCGTGAGCGAACCAGCCATCCCTATGTGGGATCCGAACCCGGGGCCTTGGTGTTATCAGCACCGCACTCTCCCGAGTGAGCCACGGGCCGGCCCCATTGTTAACATTTTGATGTCTACAATGAACAGACCTTGCAGTTTTGTTTTGTTTTGTTTACAAAAATCGGAAGGTATTCATACTGTTGTAGCCTGCTTTTTTCCATAATATGTTTGGCCTGCTTTTCTTGTCAGTAAACATTTCTTTTTTTTTTTTTTTTTCTAAAGATGACCGGTAAGGGGATCTTAACCCTTGACTTGGTGTTGTCAGCACCACGCTCACCCAGTGAGCAAACCGGCCATCCCTGTATGGGATCCATGGGATCCGAACCTGCGGCCTTGGTGTTATCAGCACCGCACTCTCCCGAGTGAGCCACAGACCAGCTCCCATCAGTAAACATTTCTATACTGTCATTTTAATGCTGCATGGCATTCCATTGTGAAGATGTTCCATAACCTTTCGCAGTGAACCTAGCAAAGATAAGGAAAAGTCTGAGTAAGAAAGTTCCTTTCTTAAGAGAAACCTTTAAAGAGACCTTTTACATTTTCAAAGAAATTGCCTATTATAATTTTTGCTTTATTAGCTATCTGCCAATCTCTTGAGCCACAGGCTTTCCAGCTCATTGTTGTTTAAAGAATGCCTATAACTTAATACTAGTTGTGAGACATGGAGCCATATTTCTTAATCTCTTTGAGTTTCATTTATCTTTTATGTAAAGTGGGATAATACCTTATGTGATTGTATTGACTAAAAATTAGGAATTATGGAGCAACAGATACTCAGAATAGGCTTATTTCCTTCTTCCTTCAGTAATTGCTCGTGGTTTTCTGTAATGTTGACACCACTTTACAACTCATTACTGCCTCATTCCTAAGCTACTACTTCTGGTTTGGTAGGTGAGAGGATTGTGGTGGCATTTTCAAGTATTGTGTATTTTTCATTCATTGAGGGTATTTTCCTTAAGATGGTTTATAGCTACTTTGAAATTGTCTGGTCATTTCTGTTGTCTTTTTCTTGAAAATGGGTTGTGTTGTCCTTTCTTTTCCATATGTTCAGTAATTTTGGATTGTGTCCTGGACATTGTGAACATGTTGTAGAGGCTCTAGATTCTGTTTTATTTCTCTCCAAAGGGTGTGTTTTGTTGTTGTTGCTATCCATCTCTCTTGTGGTGGGCAGCAGGTCAAATATTGGTTCAGTTCTTTTAGCTGGGCTGCTTGGAATATGCTGCATGCACATGCATGGTTCAGGGGCCAGTCAGATATTTGGGTAGTTTATATAAAGATTGTGGGGCTCCCCCTTTCTGGCTTTTCATTTTCTGGGATTTCCCACCTTCTCATGCCTTGGTTGTCCCAGTTCTGCTTTACTTCTTCAAGCCATTAAGGCTGCGTGTTTTCTCTTGGAATTTTAGTTGCCCAGCATGGGCAGAGTAACGCCTGCCTTTGGGCTAAAAGATGTAAAGAAAACATGAAAACAAAAACAAACCTTATTGGGTTCTTCTGAGTGTAGACGCCCTCCTGTGTTATCCTCCTTTTGGTTCTCCAGTGCCTTCAGAAAGTTTTTGTTTTTAAAAAATATTTTGTCCAGAGTTTATAATTATTACCCAGTGGTTTGGCCTGATAATATCCACCCAGCCATACTAGAAGTATGTCACCTTCTGTGGTGGCATTTTCCTTTCCAAATTTTAAGTTTTGTAGAATGGAATGTTTTCACCATTCCATTAGAAGTTCTTAATCCTGATTTTGCAATGTCTGTGGGTATCTCCATTTTGGCTCAAGGTTTTTGTTTGTTTTTTTTGGCACCTGACTGGTATGGAGATCCAAACCTGTGACCTTAGTGTTTATAAGGCTGTGCTCTAACCAACTGAGCTAACTGGCCAGACCGGTTCTTTCTTTTAGTGTGAACCCCCCACCCCCAAACATTATATTAGTTTTCTATTGCTGCTGTAACAAGTTACCACAAACTTGGTGACATAAAACAACACAAATTTATTATCTTAACATTCCGTAGATTAAAAGTGGCATGGGTCTCAGTGGGCTAAAATCAAGATATAGGCAGAGCTCCGTTCCTTTCTGTAGAATGTAGGAGATAATCTCTTTCCTTGGCTTTTCCGGCTCCTAGAGGCTGCTCTCGTTTGTTGGCTCTTGCCTCCTTCTTCCATCTTCAAAGCCAGCAAAGATAGGTCTCACATCACATCACTCTGACCCTGCTTTATCATTCATCACATATCCTTCCCTGACTCTGCTCCTTCTTCCACTTTCTAAGGGCCCTTGTGATTGTGTTGGGCTTACCTTGATAATCTGGGATAACCTCCCTATTTTAAGGTCAGCTAATGAGTAACCTTAATTATTTCTTTGCTGTGTAAACTAACATTCACAGGTTCCCAGGATTAGGATACGGATATAGGGAACCATTATTCTGCCTGCTACAGGCATTAACAGTTTAGGGGAGAAAGAAAATGAACAAATTTTATTCAGTGAGATTCAGTAGGCCACTATCGCAAACTCCAAATTCAGATCTTAATGGTAGAGATGCTAACAGTCTCCATTTCAAATATGTAAATATTTAAACACGTCTTTGGGCACTGTTTAGTATCTTGGTATTCAGTACATTGAGTAGTAAATTATAGGTTCATTGACTATGCAAAACCTATTGGGTGAAAGTCAGTCTAGTTTTCCAATGGGAAACCTTTTCGCTAGTTTTTGAGTCAGTTCATGTTCTAAATCAATTGTAGAAAATTTCTTTTATTCAACAAACATTAGAGTTACCATATTTACACACCTTTTGTTTAGTCTTGTTTGGGAAGGAGGAAGGCAGCTTTACGTGTGGGATACTTTTTTAGGTATTATTTAACATTGTATG